ATTGTAGTCTTTTTCAAACTGCGCGCCGAATTATTTTTCCGGACTAAATAAACGCATTTAAAACTACTCTAGTAATCGCGAATTAAATTGACAAGCAATTTAATAATTTGATGCTACCATCAAGTATCATATATTATAAAGATGCTAAGATATTAAAACTGTTAATAAATTTATTGCGAAAAATATTACCTCGGCTGGGACTTAAATCCGGATCTCTTGTATTCAGTATGAGCGTCCTTATAAGCCTAGGAATTAGATCACCGAAGCAAAAATTTATTAAAAATCAAAAGTTTTTTAAATTTAAGTTTATGATTAGTGTGTTCTTTTCTGATATAATGATGAATAGGATTCCTAAGATAAGTTTTTCTCAATCAGAAATATATGCTACAACATATTTTATATTTTTAAAAATTAGCAATATCATTTCGAAAAATAGTGGTTTTGCTATTTTAAAAACAATTTCAGCATACTTGATTGGAGTATTTTCCGATGATACAGAAAACATAAACAATTACAGCATTAAGGGGATTCTAAAGCCGTCTGTATTACCGACTAAATCATATAATTTTTGTATAACAAATACTTTTTTCTCTTTCACAGATCCGTTAATCCTTTTCCAGGATTAAAGTATATGCATTAATACGTGATTATGAGGTGGAATTTATGCCGAGAACGACCAAAAATTTCGAAATTGATATATTGTTCACCATTTTATAGTGTAACATGGCGTCTTAAGCTGTCAAGTCGTGACAACATTTGCTTGATACGAAAGTTTTGCAACCTGTACTTACGAAATAGTAATTCACAAATACGTAGTTTGCACGAATAAATAACGTTGAGTTCTTAGAATTAGACTTAAACGCTTCATCGCGACAAATTTGTTATACGAAAATTGACACAAACGTGCGACTGCGTGTATTATAGATTGCGTGAGATATTGGTTGGTATGGTAATATATAAAAACATATCGGTGCGCCAGAAAAACAGCGACCTCTGGTGATTTTGTCAGAGTTCGGGCTTCGCTTTAGGATCTCCTTAAGGAAATATTTACATTTAAATTTGCTCCTATAACTTCTATTGACGTCGAACAAAGTTTTTCAATGTATAAAAATATTTTACGATCAAATAGGCAAAGTTTTTTGTTCAAAAACTTAAATCAAATGTTTATTATTTACTGTAATTGTTACGGATTTGTACTATTTTAAAATTCGCGTCCGTGAACATGTCATCGAGTGCAGCTGTGTAGATAGGGGATTGGTGCTGCCAAACGGCGCTCCAATCGTGCGAGCCGGCAATTAAGGCGGCGCTGCGGTGAAGGACCCATTTTAGATTGAATGTAGGCGCGCCTGTATGCTTCTTCTTGGATTTGTTTTGTTTTTCTCTTACTTCCTGCTGTAATCAGACGTGTGTGTCCATGCGCGCCTCGTTGGTATAACTATTTTAGGAGAGGGAGACGTCCCTTAATACTCAGAGCGTAAGCAGAGCGTTGCAAAGGTTTCGCTACCGGAGTGGAGCGTTACATCCCAGACTGGTCATTCCTCGACCGGATTAAAGTGGCCGGTCGAGAGTCTGTGGAATCCCGGTCTGCGTGCGCGGGTCCGCCATTTTGACGACCCGTTCTTCGTGCGTGGTGAAGTCACGTAAAGGAAGCCGGCCTCGCGGGAAATACGATTTAGCGTTGTGCTGGAAAATACTGTGAGAGCTCTCTGGATAAATATTCGAACGGACTGAATGAATGCATGTAAATCTTTAATTCTTATTTCTTCTGGGTAAATTGCATAATCTAGTAGACTCCTATGATCGAGGCATCGTGAAACCGACTTGCCTATTGTCTGCGAACCCATGCCGATCTGCTAACCCGTATCAATTCGTCGACCAGAAGACGTGGAATGCAAACCTGGACGAGAATGGCTGGAGTAAAAGAATAAAACACATATAACTCAGCTTCGTTGACATCTAGACAACAACCACGCAATTGTAACAGTATAGTTTCCGCACTAAAAGAGGTACTTCTTGTTAGTTACGACAAATGATCGCCAGCATAATGTTAACGAAAGAAACGTTGAACTACCAATACTCGAGATAAGTAGTATCACTTAGAATATCACGTTATCATGTTAAAGGTATTCTGACAATTTTGAGGAGTGAATTGCAAAGTTGAGAATATCAACAATCTTATCCAGTTAAACATATTCTCTGTATTAATCTTTCGATTTTTGTAACATCCGTTTATTGTCTGTATGTAGATTATTCCTAACCTTAGATGATCTCGATATTAATTCATTTTCATATCTTCATCATTACGTTACTATGTATGAATAACGTTTCAAATCAGATCGAACCTAATAAGAAATGATGAGATCATAATTTAGTCTCCCATGTAAACCGATATCAGGATGGTTATACAGAACAGAACTTATTTTTTATTTACATTCTAGATTATTAATTCTTCAATTCATTATAAATTACGCCGTTATTTAATTGTATTAAAATCCATTGTCTTCTCAAGTCTGAATATTTGTAATCTCAATATCATACTTACTTTTCTATTTATTTGATCTGATTTATTACTATAGTTAAAAACTATCTAAGAATGTTCAAATTGAATATACGCCAATAATTGGTGAAAATACTGGAGATTTTATGCCATGTAAACGAGTATGTACGAATCTATCTCATTAATGAAACGAGATTGTAATTTACTAATAATCAACATTTGTTGCGTTCATGTGTGTGTCTCGTTCTTCTCTTTGGCCAACGTATTATTAAGAACAGGCGATTGCTAACATTTGGTCCTTCGAGCCAGATACGCTGGTCGGAGCAGGATGAGACTCGCACATGTGGAAGCTCGTTTAGAGCAGCAAATCACACTTAATGGTTTAACTGCCGGCTCATATGATGACTTAACAAAAGTTGGGTTAAACAATTTGAATTCTCAGAGAATACAAACTCGACTTACTGCACTCAAAGATGACTGAGAGAAATTTTTCATTATTCACGAGGCTATTGGGATAGCAATCAGAGATTTGAATTATGAGGATAAATTGTACGTTCAAAATCACTCTTATTTTTCCGAGAATTTCTTTGTCACCACCCGGGAACTCTATTTAGAAACCACCGAGCGTATATGTTTGTTACTCGATTCGGATCCTGGAGCTAACCGGATCGTCGTCTGGTCGTCTCGATCTTCATGGTCCAACCGGAACGCCATATTATCTTCAAGCCAGGTTACCTCGAATAGATCTCCCGAAATTCAACGTCAATCATGAAGATTGGCTTTCCTTTAAGGATCTATTCACCTCTCTTGTAATTACTAATCGTTCTCTCTCCTCCGTCGAAAAACTTCAGTATTTGAAGACTAGCCTTGTCGGTTCAGCTGCTCAGTTATTAACGAACATGACAGTCACTGGTGACAACTTCCAACGAGCCTGGGTAGCTCTAATCGCGTTTTACGAGAATACAAGAGTTTTGTTGAACGCGACGCTAAATTCACTACTTCATCTTAAACACATGACCAAGGAGTCAGCTGTAGAAATGGAACACCTTTATACAAATATATAGGTCACTCATGCAAATATATAGGTCACTGGAGAATTTACAACGATCAGTTGGATATTGGGATGATTTCCTCGTGTTTATAGCAGTACAGCGATTAGATTCAGAATCGGTAAAGGCTTGGGAGCAGCATTTAGGCTCCGCGAAGGAACCGCCGACTTGGCATCAATTTACTGACTTTCTGTTTTCTAGACTTTGTTCCCTACAGGCTTTTGAGAAAACTCGTTTCGTAAAACATTCGGTTAAACCGCATCAGACCACTGTGAAATCTTACTATCAAGGAGCACATACTAAAGATGACTCAATTAAAGAAAGGAAATGTCCTCTTTGTGCAGCCAATCATCATCCCTCCATATGTACTCTATACAGTACAAAGTCAGTTCCACAAAGAAGATTGATTATCAACAAACACAAATTGTGTTTCAACTGTTTGGGAACTCATCGTGTAGCGGCCTGTTGAGTTACCAAACGTTGTCGAAAGTGTGGTCACAAGCACCACATCACTATTCACTCCGGCTCATCCCAGGAAGTTAAAGGGAAAACAAGCGGTATTGACACGACTAAACCTGATAATACTTCAACGGCAACAATTGAAGAACGAAAGGTAATGCATTCCGCCGTTGTCGCATCCGTTACGACTCACTGAGTATTGTTAGCTACAGCTCAGGTTCGGATCACAGCCCCTAATGGCAATACGACTAGCGTGAGAGCCTTGATAGATCATGGATCAGAAATCTCGTTGATATCTGAAAGGACCGTCCAACGAATGAAATTAACTCGGAGGCAATTGACGATTTCTTTAATCGGTATTGGAGGCAAGTCTTCTAATAAATCGAGAGGCACAGTCAGCTTTAACCTAAGTCCACATTTTCCATCGGAGTTCAAGTGTACTATTACAGCACAAATTTTAGCCAATCTCACTTCATCAATCCCGTCAACACAACTAAATCAGGCTATGTGGCCTCACTTGAATGATTTGCAATTGGCCGATTGTCAATTTACACAACAAGGTCCTATCGACCTTATATTAGGAGCAGATGCATATAGTTTTATCATTGCGGAAGGAATAATTAAAGGAATACCGAACTCTCCTATAGCTCAACGTACCACGCTTGGATGGATTATTTCAGGACCAACCGGTAGCCAGATGGACACGAAAAATGCCCGACACTATCATGTAACTGCTACAGAAGAATTATATCACCTGCTGCACAAGTTTTGGGAATTGGAAGAAGTTCCGCCATTGAATAATCACTCGCTGACTCCAGAAGAACAAGCATGTGAGGAGCATTTTAAAATCACTCACTCAAGGGATCAAGAGGGCCGATGTGGTGAAATTATCACTCAAACAGTCCACTGATCAATTAGGAGATTCAAAAACAAAGGCCATCCGTATTGTTCATCAGTTGAGTAAACGATTTGAATCAAATCCAGTCTATGCAAAAATGTATTCTGATTTTATCCTCGAATACGCAACTCTTCAACATTCGAAGCTGGTTCCGGATTTGTCATCAGAACCAGTTCCTGCCTACTACTTACCCCACCACGGTGTTGTAAAGGAAACTAGCATTACTACCAAATTACGAGTAGTGTTTAATGGCTCTAGTAAGACGTCAACGGGAGTATCGTTGAATGACCTTTTGCATGTCGGTCCCAAGTTACAAAACGAGTTATTCGATGTATTAATTTGGTACCGACAATTTCGCTATGTTTTCTCCTCTGACATCGAGAAAATGTATCGTCAGATAAAGATCCACCCAGACGACTGGAAGTTTCAACGTATCTTATGGATAGACCAAAATGGTCACGTGTTGACTTATCAACTCACTACTGTGACATATGGATTGGCCTGCGCTCCCTTTCAAGCTCTTCGCGTTATGCTCCAGCAAATAAAAGATGGAGACAAATTTCCACTAGCGATTCCAATACTGAAACATAGCCGGTATGTAGATGACCTATTCGGAGGAGGAGATTCTATCGAACAAGCACAAGTGACTCTTCAGCAAGTGAATCAGCTCTGCATGGCGGGCGAATTTCGATTGCACAAATGGATTAGTAACTATCCGGACGTTTTAAATTCTATTCCAGAAAGCGATCAGATAACTGGCTCGATCATACCGATCGAGGAAAACTCTACTGTCTTGTCTCTTGGATTATCGTGGCATCCCACCACGGACACCTTTCGATTTATCCATCACCCTACGCAAACGGAGACCGTAACGAAACGGATTATTTTATCTACCATTGCTCGTTTATTCGATCCGCTTGGGTTTCTTTCGCCTATCATAATTAGGGCAAAGATATTGATGCAAGAAGTTTGGACTTTAAGATTGGATTGGGATGACGCAGTTCCTGCCACGACTACTAACCGATGGCTCTCGCTTGTTAATGATCTTCAAAATCTGTCTACTTTAAGTTTTCCAAGATGGATAGGTCTGAGTTCCAATCAATTATTAGAAATTCATGGGTTCTCGGACGCATCACCGCACGCTTATGCGGCGGTAGTCTATTCCCGATTAACTTCTGCCAACGGAGAAGTTTCTACACGACTTATCTGTTCCAAGACTAAAGTTACCCCGCTAAAAAGGATGACAATTCCGCGATTAGAACTCGCGGGAGCCGCTCTCCTGGCTAAACTAGTGAAACATATCCTTCAGATTCTAGATCAACGCCCTGCTTCTGTTTATTTATGGACAGACTCAACTGTTACACTCACGTGGATTAGTAATCATCCGTCACGTTGGAAAGACTTCATCCACAACAGAGTCTGCTTCATTCAAGAATCGGTACCACAAGCACGTTGGAATTTTTTCGCAGGACCAGAGAATCCTGCGGATCTAGCTACACGAGGACTGTCGGTTAAGCAACTCTCAGAACAGGAATTATGGTGGAACGGATCTATATGGTTGCGGGAATCACCTCAACATTGGCCTGAGAGACCAATCAATAAAGAAAGCGGAAAGATTCTTGATGAAAGACCTGTTAAAGTGGCAATAACTTGCGCTTATCAAACTGAAGATTGGGATCTTATATCTAGATATTCTAACTTAACGAGGCTACTTCGAATTACTGCTCTTTGTCGACGGGCTATTAATCGATTTCGGAAGGTTCCTAATTCTTCAATGACGAATCCCATCACTACCGTTGAATTACAATCAGCCAAACAATTTTGGGTGAAGGCAGTACAACGGTCTGTCTTTGCTCAAGAACTTAGACTAATTTCCAGTGGAGAACCGTTTCCAACCTCACACCCACTTTCTAGACTTACGCCCTTCAAGGATGCTTCCAGTATTCTAAGGGTGGGGGGACGCCTTCGGGAGTCATCCTTGAGCATAGAAGCCAAACATCCGGCAATTCTACCGAGACATTCCCCACTTTCAACCTTAATCATTGCAGATTCTCACAGAAGGACATGACATGGTGGTACTCAAATTACATTGTGCACCATACGTGAGGAATTCTGGATCCTTGGGGGTCGCGCGCCAGTCAAAAGTTATATTCTTAAATGCCATCAATGTGCACGTTACCGTAGTATGAGGGCGCAACAGTTAATGGGTCAACTTCCCAGAGAAAGAGTCACCCCATCTTGTCCATTTTTAAATACTGGTGTTGATTATGCCGGGCCACTGTCTATTAAAACCTGGAAAGGAAAGAATTCTAGAACCTATAAAGCATATGTTGCACTCTTTGTCTGTTTGTCAACATCCGCGACTCACATCGAATTAGTTACTGATTACACCGCGGAAGCCTTCATTGCGGCCTATAAAAGATTTACGGGACGAAGAGGTATTTGTACTACGCTTTGGAACAACTGTGGCACCAATTTCAAGGGCGCTAACCTTACCTTACAACGACTATTCTCTGCTGCTACCTCAGAATCACAGCACCTTGCTACCTTATTGGCCAACGATGGCACACAATGGAGGTTCAATCCCCCATCAGCTCCACACTTTGGTGGCATATGGGAGGCGGGGGTCAAATCAATGAAGTATCATCTTCATCGAACGATCGGAGACGCATTGTTAACTTTCGAAGAAATGACCACTCTTCTCGTACAAATTGAGGCGATACTCAACTCGAGACCAATAGTCCCTTGCAGCGACGATCCAGAAGACTTCAACGTTCTGACCCCCGGGCATTTCCTTATGGGTTGTACTCCCACTGTTGTGCCCGAACCATCTTTACAAGACACGCGCCTTTCACGTCTTTCTAGATGGCAACTCCTGAGGCAGATGATTGACAGTTTCTGGACCAGATGTTCTAAAGAATGTCTGCAGCGATACCACTCCATATCCAAGTGGAAAAGAGATTCTAATTCGATCGCTGAAGGTTCCGTAGTATTAGTTATCGACGAGAGATACCCATCAGCGAAATGGCCTCTTGGGAGAATTGTCTCGGTTCACCCAGGTAAAGACGGGTTAGTCCGGGTTGCGACAGTGAAAACACAAACATCCACATTAAAGAGACCGATTGTAAAACTCTGCTCGCTTCCAATTCCGATTAACAGTCCTTAGTTTAATTCGTTAACACTGATTAACGAAGGCGGGCGGAATGTTACGGATTTGTACTATTTTAAAATTCGCGTCCGTGAACATGTCATCGAGTGCAGCTGTGTAGATAGGGGATTGGTGCTGCCAAACGGCGCTCCAATCGTGCGAGCCGGCAATTAAGGCGGCGCTGCGGTGAAGGACCCATTTTAGATTGAATGTAGGCGCGCCTGTATGCTTCTTCTTGGATTTGTTTTGTTTTTCTCTTACTTCCTGCTGTAATCAGACGTGTGTGTCCATGCGCGCCTCGTTGGTATAACTATTTTAGGAGAGGGAGACGTCCCTTAATACTCAGAGCGTAAGCAGAGCGTTGCAAAGGTTTCGCTACCGGAGTGGAGCGTTACATCCCAGACTGGTCATTCCTCGACCGGATTAAAGCGGCCGGTCGAGAGTCTGTGGAATCCCGGTCTGCGTGCGCGGGTCCGCCATTTTGACGACCCGTTCTTCGTGCGTGGTAAAGTCACGTAAAGGAAGCCGGCCTCGCGGGAAATACGATTTAGCGTTGTGCTGGAAAATACTGTGAGAGCTCTCTGGATAAATATTCGAACGGACTGAATGAATGCATGTAAATCTTTAATTCTTATTTCTTCTGGGTAAATTGCATAATCTAGTAGACTCCTATGATCGAGGCATCGTGAAACCGACTTGCCTATTGTCTGCAAACCCATGCCGATCTGCTAACTCGTATCAATTCGTCGACCAGAAGACGTGGAATGCAAACCTGGACGAGAATGGCTAGAGTAAAAGAATAAAATAAAACACATATAACTCAGCTTCGTTGACATCTAGACAACAACCACGCAATTGTAACAGTATAGTTTCCACACTAAAAGAGGTACTTCTTGTTAGTTACGACAAATGATCGCCAGCATAATGTTAACGAAAGAAACGTTGAACTACCAATACTCGAGATAAGTAGTATCACTTAGAATATCACGTTATCATGTTAAAGGTATTCTGACAATTTTGAGGAGTGAATTGCAAAGTTGAGAATATCAACAATCTTATCCAGTTAAACATATTCTCTGTATTAATCTTTCGATTTTTGTAACATCCGTTTATTGTCTGTATGTAGATTAGTCCTAACCTTAGATGATCTCGATATTAATTCATTTTCATATCTTCATCATTACGTTACTATGTATGAATAACGTTTCAAATCAGATCGAACCTAATAAGAAATGATGAGATCATAATTTAGTCTCCCATGTAAACCGATATCAGAATAGTTATACAGAACAGAACTTATTTTTTATTTACATTAAACATATTCTCTGTATTAATCTTTCGATTTTTGTAACATCCGTTTATTGTCTGTATGTAGATTAGTCCTAACCTTAGATGATCTCGATATTAATTCATTTTCATATCTTCATCATTACGTTACTATGTATGAATAACGTTTCAAATCAGATCGAACCTAATAAGAAATGATGAGATCATAATTTAGTCTCCCATGTAAACCGATATCAGGATGGTTATACAGAACAGAACTTATTTTTTATTTACATTCTAGATTATTAATTCTCCAATTCATTATAAATTACGTCGTTATTTAATTGTATTAAAGTCCATTGTCTTCTCAAGTCTGAATATTTGTAATCTCAATATCATACTTAGTTTTCTATTTATTCGATCTGATTTATTACTATAGTTAAAAACTATCTAAGAATGTTCAAATTGAATATACGCCAATAATTGGTGAAAATACTGGAGATTTTATGCCATGTAAACGAGTATGTACGAATTTATCTCATTAATAAAACGAGATTGTAATTTACTAATAATATAATCAACATTTGTTGCGTTCATGTGTGTGTCTCGTTCTTCTCTTTGGCCGACGTATTATTAAGAACAGGCGATTGCTAACAGTAATTGAAATATAAATTGAAATAATTAAATTTTTTGTTTAATGTGTATTTGTAAATACATATTAATGTATTCATTTAATTTTAATGTCCCGTAAAATGCTAATTAAATTTTTTTTTAAATACAAACAAATTTTATCAAATTTATTTTGCTTTGTTATCATAAGTAAAAAACTTAATTAATACTTTGAAAATTTGCGTGATAAAAATTAATTTTTAGATGTATTTCTTTCTTTAGAACATTTTTTCAATTTTACAGAGCGGAAATATTACGCAATAATTATACAATATTTTTAAAAAATCAAATTTTATATAATTCTTATCAAAATTGTTTAATAACAAAAATATTTAAAACTAAAAATAAAGCACAATTTTATTGTAATATAGGTTTTAAAAGTAAAAAGAAATTCTTAGAATTAGTTATATTTGCACAACTAAATGCTTATACTAAAATTATTTACATATTAAGTTATATTTACAAACTAAATGTTAAATATTTTTATCCTTTTTTTTTTAATTTCAGTGTTACATCATGGGCAATATTATCTATTATTAATTATTGCTTAATCGTCTCTTAATAAGCTTTCAATTATTACTAATGTTGTTATCAATTATTCAGGTAAGCATTTTAAAGTTTCGTACAATGGTACCTGATGTAGCCTGTGCCTATATATTTCGCGGTCATCTTCACGAATTCTTCCAGCGTTCTCCTTTTCCTTAGTGTCTTTTTTTACTATTTTCACCTTTTACGACTCTCGTTCAGACTTTTCATGTTTCTTTTGTGCTTCTCATGTTTCTTTATCTCTTTTTTATTCTCCTATATTTATTTTACTAATCTAATTAATAAAATCGCATCATTTTCTCAATAATAAATTCACGTCCTCATTTTTAATTATCGCCGTTGGCCTGTTACCACTTGATTATTATAAGTAGCGGGATTCGACGGTGGGGATTGTAGAAGCCACGTTTCTTGAGCAACAGTCTTCTTGGTAGCATCGGGCACGATCAGTTACTGGTAGGACGCGTCTCTCTTCTCATCGATGATCGAAACCGTGAAACAAATCACGATCATACTTTCTCGGCATTCCTCGTTCAAGCGTGCTGAACTCGGCAGAAGGTCGCGGTCACGAGGTTTCTGAATTTGTGAAACTAACAATCTCGCAAGATTTCGATATTTTTAAAGAAAAGTGAGTATTCTACCAAAAATTAATATTTTAAAATTTTCTAGTTAATATGCCACAAGGTTTTTCAAAAACAAATAGTATTATGTATCAGCTCTTACGATATCTTGTAGTTATATGTATACACCAAAGTACACAAATTTGTACACCTCGCCTCAGTAATTCATAAAATTTTAACTTGATAAGACAGCAAACTGATTGAAAGCAATTATCATGTGTACTCGAAAATTTTGTTTACGTCGAAATTTACCGCAAACATGTAAGTTCCGGGGGGATCCCGTTTTCCAACAAATCGATTGTCTACACTAGTTTAGAGCATCGTTTGCCTACATTTTTGCCGACAGTACGTTTGCGCTCAAAAATTATTGCATATTGCTTGATTGCCTACCTACATGTACTATTCTCTGTTTTAAAACGTAAATTTTCTGCTTTAAAAACACAAATTCTTTGTTTTAAAACAAATTCTCTGCTTTGGGAGGAAATACCTTTAGGAGACTAAAAAAACGGCAATTTTCAAATATTTTTTAAATAAAAAATATTTATATTTGACTAATTATTTCAAAATTTTTTGTGCTACTTTGTCTATCTTTTAAGTATATAAATATATTTCTTTTTACAAAATATTAAAAAATACTAAAGCTGCAGCGCCGCAAATAACAGAGGTGGCGATGTGAGTTGCCAATCGGCGGGACACATAGCTCCTGTTATATTGATCTGAAACAGACAGAAAACATTTTTTCTAATTAATCAGATGTATACGCTCTATGTGAATATAAAAAAGTGAAAAAAAAGTAAAAATTGAAAAAATAACGCATGTTTGAAAAAAAATTTTGAATTTTTCACAAAATTTTCGTTGAAATTTTGCAATAAAAAACTTTTTTTAATAACTTTTATAAACATTTAGGTTCACATAGAAGGTAATTATAATAGCTTAATTGTATCTACAATTTGAAGAGGATTGGTTAAGTAGTTTCTGAGCTATCTTGTACGCCAATTTTAAAAATGACGTTTTGAGAAAAACGCGTTCGAAGTTTTGAAAGATAAAAACTATATGATTTCATTCTACGTGTGGCCACCTAATTATCTTTGAAGTAAATCAACACTCTCCAAAACATCTGGTCAGTTACCTGAGCAGATAATAATATCGGAGAAGGGATTATGAGAGAGGGGATTACAATAGGCGGATCCCCCTTTGTTCCGATCGTATGACTATTGGCACGCTCTGAAACTCCGAAAACTTAAATTTCATAGACTTAACATATCAAGCGTTTTTATAGAATATTTATATATCACTTTTCTTTTTTTTGACACATTTTCTTTTTCTTTTGTCAAAATTACAGTTTTATTGCCCGAACTCAAGCCGTTCTCGCCGCCGAACTACGAACAGATTTTGTACATTTTATTTCGTTACTTTATTTTATTTCGCCTACTCTATATTTTAGTACATTTTATTTCGTCACTTCATTTTATTTCGCCTACTCTATATTTTTTTATTTATTTATTTCATCACATCATTTCAAAAACACGACAACCGTTTATACATGTTTACTTTTATCTTTTAACTTTCATAATTTACTCATTTTATATAATGTTTACGCTATTACATGTCCACTTTCAACCTTGATGTTGGTTTCTTTCTTATCACGTCCTTATTTATCTATCTTCAATAATTATCTACATGTTTTAAATAATTGTTTGACTATGTTTTTTTGTTTCTCAATGTATCATATTTTGCTGTAACAATTTAATTTATAATATTTGTTTAGAAAATTTTTTTACAAATCGTCAAAAAACAATAATCAACATATTAAATATAAACACTACAGACTTTTCGACACCGATCGAGTCATTATCAATGTGATAAAAATTGAAATTACAAAGTAAACTTAGTCGTTATGAGTACATAAATAATTATAATAAATAATTATAAAAATAATAGAAAAAATGCATAAATTACTGTATCATATTCGAAAGTCCATGTGTTTTGTGGTTCATGATCGACAACTATTGTACATATTTGATTAGATGATTGAAACTTTATTCATCCGCAATAATTATTGAGTGTCCTACTGTATGGAATTCGGTCTTTATATAAATATGAGTTCTTAATAAATATGAGTCCAAAATACAAAATTAGATCTAAAAGAATCAAATGGTAAAAACGCAATCAAGATTTAACGTAGTCAAATGAAATAAAAAGAAGCAATAAAGCGATATGTGTCAAGAGACATCGTAACATAACAATTGTTATGTTAATAAGATACGTAAATAAGGACGTGAAAAAGAAGCAATAAAGCGATATGTTTCAAGAGACATTGTAACATAATACAATTGTTTTCCTCTCTTGACACATATCGCTTTATTGCTTCTTTTTATTTCATTCGACTGTTAAATCTTGATTTTTTACCATTTGATTCTTTTGGATCTAATTTTATATTTAATTACATACATGAGTGTCCTAAATTAACCCCTTGAGTGTCAGTGACGCACATATGCGCAGAAAAAAGTCGTGTCATTTTCGTCTCATGACGCATATGTGCGCATTTGAAAAAAAACATGTTTATACTTCATCGATTCGACTGTAATTTGTTAAATCATGGTTTTTGAGGTCGCTGAATCCAAATTTGAAATCGGATTTTCAAAATTCAAAATGGCGGATCCAATATGGCAGACGCAAATTCGAAAAATGGTTTGATTTCTACAAAAATTTGTATCTCCAATTTGTAAACCATGAATGGTTTGCTGAATTTTTATTTGTCATAATGTATCCGAATTTCAGATACCTAGAGTCAGGACTCAAATTCTAAATTCGCGATCACGAACATCTAGATACAAATTTTTGTAGAAATCAATCCATTTTTCGAATTTGCGTCCGCCATATTGGATCTGTCATTTTGAATTTTGAAAATCCGATTTCAGATTCGGATTCAGCGACCTCCAAAACCATAACACTAAAATTATAGGATAAATCAATGAAAATTTTTTTCCAAGACAAAAATGGCACGAAAAGCTGATTTTCGCCTGACAGCTAAGGGGTTAAAATACTACAGCAAGAAAGTTTTCAAAAGAATAAGATATAAAAGTATAAAACTTATAATTTATCGTTCCAAGCAATTTTTTAAATACAATGATTTAAGATCAAATCTCTGTGTAATTATAGATTACAGTTAAACGGCTATCAAGTTATATTTATCTATCCATGTGTTTTTCAGTTTAATTAGAAACTTAAGAGACTTAAATGATAGATATATAAAATTTAAAAATATTAGATTAAAATAAAAAAAAACATCGTGGCTCCGAGAATAAATCAAATATAAATGAAATATTTTACTACTACTTTGCCTATATGAAGTATTCCACGTCAAACCGGGTACCTTTGAAATATTATTATTTTTATTACTTCTTTTTAAATTTGCTGATATATTCTACAGATAAAAATATGAGACATTGGTCAGACACATATTTCGCGGAAAAATTTAAAATTGTCACATATTTGCAAACACATATTTTTATCTGTAAAATATATCAGCAAATTTAAAAAAAAATAACTCACATTTTTTACTTTATTGGTACACTAATGATTTAACGAGAATCTCGCCATTAAACAAGGAGTTCATTATATAAAACAATTTAGAAAATTAACATATGAAATTTCACTATTGGATATGGTGTATTGAAGAACTTACAATCTAAAAAAGAGATACCAGGATAATTGTATGGACTCTAATATCATGGAATAGCGACAAAGGTTAAAATTTATATTATATCAAACTGAAAAAAGCTCTGAACCGAAACATATTTGTATTATTTGTATTCTTATATCTTATTAAATATAATAACTACTGCATTATTGTAAATCCAATTGCTCAATTATTGGTCGTAACATTAATTTGATTTGCTGTACAAACTTTCGAGCGTTATATTATATTTAATTGTTGTACAGTCGAACCTCCGTAAAGTTAACCTCCGTAAAAGTCATGTCTTAACCTCCCACATAATAATCGAGCACATATGCTCGCGCATGCGCATTTGTTTAGTTTGACGAAGGTTGGTCGGTTCCGACAAGTTATTTTTATAGAGGTTTGACTGTATTTTATTTGTTATGTTTATCTACAGCGCGCGGCGGCAAATAATTCTTAACAAATATTACACCTAACACACGGTATTTCCTTTGCAAAAAAATAAAAAGTGATATTACGGCCAATGTAGGTATAATATCCGTTACTAGGTGATATACTTTAGTGATCACTTATAGAATAATTTGTTAAGTAGCTCGCGATTACATATGTTAATGTACTAATACAATGGCCATTATGTATTATTACACATTTTTACTTACAAGCATTTCAAAACATTTTTAAGATGCATTTTAGCATTTAATTATACATACTTCCTTATTATTCTTAAACTTGAATGCATCATCACATGAATATATGTATATTTAAGTTTTGTTTACTAATTAAGATTTTGTTTTTCTCTCTTTTTTGAGGTTTTTATATTAAAATAATGATTTCATAAATTAATTGTAATTCTATTGTTACTCAATAGTATATGTTATATGTACCATAGATTTTTAATACTGAACAATCTACTGAATAGTATATGCGGACGAAGTTATGTATACGTATGTCATATATACATTTGCATACATCCTGTAGTATTTTATTTTTTCGTTAATTTTGTATCCTAGTGATGTGTTTTTAAATCTATTTTTTGTAAAAAGTTACATTCATGTTTCTCTCTGAGCCATTATGCAGTTTCGACATTTTTAGAAATAATATTCTAAGTAATAAATGTTAACTGTAATCTATAATTAATAGGAATCTTATTAGACTGTAAGAACAATGTAATTTGCAATTAATTAGCCAACTTTAAGTTTATATTTCTCATAAATTAGTATGTGGAACGATAAATTGCAAATACTTCTATAACTTTTACTTATGTAAGTTTTTATATTACTTTTGTATAAGTTAATATTTTTGATAATCATTTGGTTATTTATTACATAGCTAATTTGGCATTTGGATAAAGAAGAACGAGCTAAATTGTCGGGAATTATCATCTTGGAATTTGCGTTACTTATGTAATTTCGATTTATATTTTATATTAATAAAGACCCGAATTGAAGAGTCAAAAAGTTTTATTTTTATTTTATTTATTTTGTTACATTCACACAAAAATAAAGAGTTTTCTGTGCATCCGAATAGCCCATGTACGCTCTGATGGACTTTTTTATATTTTTCATTAACATTTTAGGTCAAATCATTTTAATATCTTTAGCTTTTTAATCATTCATTTTAACGAAATATAATCTAATTGTTTTTTAATATATTTCTTATCTTTACTTTAATTTTATAAATTAATATTTAAAAAATAATTTTTATGCTTTTACATCACAAATAATAGATCTTAAAAATGAACAATATAATATATTATAGGGCCGTATATGTGAGATAAGACAAACTATAGAAATCAAATCCTTAAACGGTCTAGCTGGATCTTAAATGCTTGTATGATTCTTGTGTGAATTTATATACAACGTATGTAGTCCCCAGAAACTCGCGCCGAAATGATTTTTCGGTCTTGAAAACGGTAACTCTACTAAACTACAGCAGTAATATTTTAATATCTTTTATGCATATTATTGCGACTGAAGATTTTGTAAAGTCAAAACTACACCCAAAAAAAAAATAACCCGATAAGCGGGATATTACTCTTAGCATTTCCTCTAAACAAAAAATCTTAAATGAATCAGGCGCGTGTATTTATAACACGTATTCATCTATAAAAATGAGGACTCATGAGCTACGATCAAAAATAAATTCCTCTATAGAAAATTCTATCATAATAACTCGAATAGCCTTTTGAAATAAAAGAATATGCAAGATACTTCTTGTACCTCAAGACGTGCTATCCTAGCTACACATTACTGTATATATATATATCTCAAGAAGACTCCTATATTGAAAGGAATATTATTCTCTATAAACGAGAGTATTTTTTGGATTATGTAAAAACCACTTCCTCTAATAAGCATATGACAATCGGGTATATAACATACAGAAAAATATCATTCTATTGCCAAAAAAAGCAATTATTCATTTTGTTTTTCTTCTTTTAAGTAACGGTTACTTTCAATAAAGAATATTTTCTTGCTAGTAGTTTTAAAATGTATTCATCCCAAGTTTTAGAAGTACTTAATATCATATATTCAAAATAAAAATTTATTCTCTTTTGAAGTATATTATAAAATTTTATCGAAAAAAAGTTAGATTTGATTAACTTGAATATTTAATAATATATTGATATAAGAAAATTTATTTGATCAGAAAAATTTGGTATATTTCTTTCAGTTCTATACACAACAGATTTAGGAAAAGCGAAACATAGTTTAGAAACAAGAAATTTTTTTCTTGTTTGAAGTAATTCATATTTTATTTTAAATAAATATTTATTTTGGGACCAAATTATGCATACAACATGACTTTTATATTGTTCCAATAGTATTTTTTCATATAATATTTATCTTAATTATTTTGAATTAATAAATACCAGCGTGTTATTTCGTTTCTATGTAACCTCATCAAATATTAATAATATAAAACTGTCATCATGAAATTAAGAAGTAAGTTACAGTAGGAGGTATGCCGTTGGCAATGACTCGATCACAAGCGTGCGATTAGCTCAGTGTAAATGTATTGGGCTTGCCGTTCTAGGGATCGTAGATTCAAATCTTACCGGCGCCGGCGATGTAATGCGTTTTTCAATAATTAATTGTAATTAATAAGACGAAATATAAGTATGCGAAACAGTAAAAGTATAAATTAAACTAGAAAAATAAAAAGCAATAATAACAAAAGAATAATTTTTTTCATTAGGATATAACCATAATTTTTTTATTACAAGTAAATATGATATTTAATTCAAGCAAAGAGATTCTTCTATTATTAAAAGGATTGCAATCTTAAAGCCAACCCCTGTCATAGGTAAACGAAATTCCTCTACTTGGAGAGTATTCTCTCGATGTCATATATAAATGGAAAATCCTCTAACATTAATACGGAACCGCTAAACGGCAGAATATTTTTTTTTGGGTGTAGTTTCGTGGGATTTAACATACTTTTAACATTAAAATTATATATATATATATATACATATATATTATAATAGTTTATTATAACTTATGAAACGCGCGCCGAAATGACTTTCGATTTTAGCTCGAGTTAAGTTGATTACATTTGATTCTGGTTTTTGACAAGGCTAAGATCTCGGTAGTCTAGAAGCTTGGAACAACCAAAAAAAAAATATTCTACCGTTTAGCGGTTCCGTATTAATGTTAGAGGATTTTCCATTTATATATGACCTCGAGAGGATACTCTCCAAAGTAGAGGAATTTCGTTTATTTATGACAGGTTGGCTTTAAGATTGCAATCCTCTTAATAATAAAAGAATCTCTTTGCTTGAATTAAATATCATATTTACTTGTAATAAGAAAATTAAGGTTATATCTTAATGAAAAAAATAATTCTTTTGTTATTATTGCTTTTTATTTTTCAGTATTAATTTATACTTTTACTGTTTCGCATACTTATATTCCGTCTTATTAACTACAATTAATTATTGAAAAACGCATCGCATGGCCGACAAGATTTGAACCTACGATCCCTAGAACGGCAAGTCTGGAGGCCCGTCTATAATACACGGAGTAAGAAGTAAGAGTAAGAAATTGACCAATCACAGTCGATTATTCTTCTCGCATTCGACTGTGATTGGTCAATTTCTTACTCTTACTTCTTACTCCGTGTATTGTAGACGGGCCTTAATACATTTACACTGAGCTAATCGCACGCTTGTGATCGAGTCATTGCCAATTATACCTCCTATTGTAACCATTCTTAATTTCATGATGACAGTTTCATATTATTAATATTTGATGAGGATACATAGAAACGAAATAACACGCTGGTATTTATTAATTCAAAATAATTAAAATAAATATTATATGAAAAAACACCATTGTGGAACAATATAAAAGTCATGTTGCATGCACAATTTGGTCCCAAAATAAATATTTATTTAAATTGAAAATATGAATTACTTCAAACAAGAAAAAAATTTCTTGTTTC